CACAACTTTCTGAAGGACAATTAGGGTTGGGTGATTATAGCTGGCCTAGCCAGTGATGTCTGCATCCTGTGAAATAATAACTAAATAACCCTGAACAATCTTACAAATGAGAATAAATATAAGATGGAAACTGATTCATTCACTGCCAAGCAACAATTATTATTCTTCCATTTACCCAGCACATATTAAACAGATGGAACATTACATTGATTTAAAAAAGCTGATCATTGAATTATGTGGTTTTAAAGGGACATATGACATACTAATTAACATTCAAAACAAAATAATAAACTGCACATTACCCAGCAGAATACTCTGCCATAACACAACAGCATATTTTACATTTCACCATAGCCAAAGGACTGGATAGTGGCTTGCTTGTTTTGAGAAACTTTGAACTTCATCAGTTCACATTATCACAACCTGGAGTACTTTTCTTGGATGTGATATGTGCGTTGTCCCCTAAATTATGGCTATTTTGGCAATGTCAAGTTATGCCTAAAAGTCGTCCCGATCTCATGAGGATACTCTGGAATTTAAATGTATGAAAATCAGTATATACAGTCATGGCTCAAGAAAAATGCCAAACTCACACTTCATTTTACTTCTCTGAGTTTAAAATTAAAAGATTAATCTCAATTAACAGCCATTCATGTACAATGCACAACCAGACACAAAAGAGGAGTAGTCAGCCATTCAGCCCCTAGAGCCTGCTCTGCCATTCTAGATTAGTGGAGAAATTTTTAATGTGACTTACACTTTTCCAGAAAAATCCATTCAAAGATTAGTTCATTCAGAGTAGGTCTTAGTGAGAATATAGTTCTTAAAAATCCTTAATTGCAATTTTCCTTCAACAACACATTTCAAACCTGGAATCCCGTTCACCTAGAAGTACAAAGGCAGCAGGTATGTGGAACAACAACAGTTACAGGCAAACTCACTACCCTGACTTGTTTCTTCATTATTGCTGATTCACAATCTTGGAATGTCTTTGCAGGACTGCAGCTCACAACATCTTCTCAAGGACAATTAGGGGTAGGCAACAAATGTTGTACTCGCCAGCAACACTCTCCTCCTAAGAATGAATAAATTTTTAAACATTAAAAGAGCAGAAAAAAAAATCTTTCTTTCCTGCTGCACCTAAAAGTCTGGTTGTAATATGGTGCGATGTTTGAGTGTGTTATAGTTCACTCAAGGAGTGAATCGCAGTGGCAACTGCATTTTTACATGTAAAACTAGTATTAATGGGAGTTGACGGCAAAACCTTCACAGATTACAGTCATATCTGGCACATGGCTGTGGTTATTAGAGGTTCAGTCATTTCAGCTCCAGGACAAATCTTCAGGAGCTCCTCAGGATTGAGTCCTTACCCCAACCATCTTCAGCTGCTTCAACAATTACCTACCCACCATCGCGGAATCAGAAGTGGAGTTGTTCGCTGATGATTGCATAATGTTCAGCACCATTCGCGAATCTTCAGATACTGAAGCAGTCCATTTTCAAATCCAAAAAGATCTGGACAATTTGTGACAAGTAACATTCAGGCTGCACAAATGCCAGGCAATGACCATCTCCAATACGAGACAATCTAACCACCGTTTCTTGATATTCAATGGTGTTACCATTACTGAATCCCCTACTATCAACATCCTGGGGGTTATCATTGAACAGAAATTCAGCTGAAATCACCACAAAACCACAGTGGCTGCAACAGCAGGTCAGAGGTTATGAATACTGTGGTTAATAACTCACTTCCTGACTCCCAAAGCCTGTCCACCATCTAAAAAGCACAAGTCAGGAGTGTGATGGAATACTGCACAGTTGCCTGGATGGGTGTGGCTCCAATAACATTCAAGTAGCCTGACACCATTCAGGACAAAGCCACCCATTCAATTAGACCCACAGCTACAGGCATTGACTCCCTCCACCACAGATGCTCAGTACAACAGTGTGTACCATCTACAAGATGCACTGCAGAAATTCACCAAACATCCTTAGATAGCACCTTCCAAACCCACAACCACTTCTATCTAGAAGGACTAGACAGCAGATACATGGGAACGTCAGCATCTACAAGCTCCCCTCAAAGCGACTCATGATCCTGACTTGGAAACATATTGCCGTTCCTTCACTGTCACTGGAATTCCCTCCAAAATGGAAATGTGGGTCAATCCAGAGCAGGTGGACTAAAGTGGTTGAAGAAGGCAGCTCACTACCACCTTCTCAAGAGTAACTAGGGATGGGCAATAAATGCTGTCCAGCCAGTGACACCCACATCCCACAAATGAATAAGAAAAATTATTGCCCTTCCCTAATTTCCCTTGAGAAGATGGAGTTGGGCTGTTTTCTTGAACCACTGCAGACCGTGTGCTGTAGGTAGAACCCACAATACCCTTAAGAAGGGAATTCCAGGGTTTTGATCTAGGATGGTGACTGGCTTGGAAGGGAATTTGGAAGTGGTGGTGTAGAGTGTGGCAGTGTTGGGGAGTGAGGAGATGAGTTACTCACTGCAGTATACCTAACCTCTGACTTGCTGTTGTAGCCACAGTGTTTAAGCGGTGAATCCAGTTGAGTTTTTGGTCAATGATAAGCCCCAGGATGCTGACAGTGGGGATTCAATGATGGTAACACCATTGAATGTCAAGGGGCGCTTGTTAGATTGTCTATTATTGGTGATGATCATAGCCTGGCATTTGTGTGGCATGAATCATACTTGAACATGGTCTGCTACAATATGTGAGGAGTAGCAAATGGTACTGAACATTGTGCAATCATCAGTGAACATCCTTACGTCCGACCTTATGATGGAGGGAAGGTCATTGACCAAGCAGCTGAAGATGGTTGGGCCTAGGACACTACCCTGAGAAACTCCTGCTGAGATGTCCTGGAGCTGAGATGCCCTCCAAAAATCAGAACCATCTTCCCATGTGACAGTATGACTCCAGCCACTGGAGAGTTTGCCCCCTGATATCCATTGATTCCAGTTTTGCTAAGGCTCCTCGATGCCACATTGCAGCTTTGATGTCAAGGCTGTCACTCTCACCGTACCTCTGGAATCCAGCTCTTTTGTCCATGTTTGAACTGAGGTTGTAATGAGATCAGGAGCTGAGTGGCCCTGGTGGAACCCAAACCAAGTGTTAGTGAGCAGGTTATTGCTGAGCAGGTGCTGCTTGATAGCACTGTTGATGACACCTTCCATCACTTTACTGATGATGGAGAGTAGACTGATGGGGTGGTATTTGGCTGGGTTGGATTTGTCTGGCTTTTTGTGTACAGGATATATGTGGGCAATTTTCCACATTGTTGGGTGGATACCAGTGTTGTAACTGTACTGGAATGGCTTGGTGAGGGGAGCAGCAAGTTCTGCAGCATAAATCCTCAGTATTACTGCCAGAATGTTGTCAGGTCCCATAACATTTGTAGTATCCAGTGTCTCTATCCCTTTCTTGACATCATCTGGAGTGAATTGAATTGACTGAAGACTGGTATCTATGATGCTGGGGACCACTGGAGGAGGCCACAATGAATCATCCATTCATTACTTCTGGCTGAAGATTGCTGTGAATGCTTCAGCCTTATCTTTTGCAATGATGTGTCAGGCTTCTTCCATCACTGAGAATGGGGATACTTGTAGAGTGTCCTCCTCCAGTGAGTTGTTTAATTGTTCACCACCATAAATGCTGGCCAGCCAGCAACACCCATGTCCCATAAGTAAATAAATTTTAAAATGTGTGTTGTAGTCAGAATGGTAGGTTGTGATGGCATAGCGTTCGATGTTCTTTCTATCACATGGCTGATCAGGAATATCTCCTTTTCTTAAACCCCACCACTGGCTCATGTTGGAAGGATTTTGCCAATTGATACTCAGCATATTTGGCACATTATGAATATACCTTTCTCGGCCATTAAAATATGCAGTGGGACTGACACCAGGTGATTCTGGTCAAGTGGCTGGGATTGTGATGGTACCACAAGATGTCCTAGTGAGACTCATGAACGAGCACAATTGAGCTTACTTGTAATTGAGAGTTGGGGTTGTAGGGGGTTGTTACCAGTGTTGTGGGTGGAAACCTGGTTGGACAGTTTCCGTGGTTATTAACATTGAGGAAAATCAGAGTGTTATTCTAGTTATGCTCATGACTCACTTATGTCCAATTTTTAAGCCACTAGATTGGCTTGAACACTTTTCAGGTGGCTGGGCAAATATGTGGAGGAAACTCCAGGGCTTAGATCTACTGGTTTTTACAAACTTCATTCTTGGGATGTCAATGTTGTTGGCTCTTAATACATATTTTACATTCAACAGCTGCAGAATCTTTGCAATTGATAAGTGGAAAGGATTTGTATTTTCTTTAATATCAGCCATATCTAAAATATTTCTGGATACACCAAGTGGAAACTTTAAAACAAAGCAAACCCATCTAGACCTATTCTTCATTTCACTCCTGGCTGTTGGACGCTTCATTCTACGTTTCCACCATCACATCCCCTGCTCTGAGAGTATCCCTATCCCCAAAAGACTGCATTTCTTCACAATCTCCTTGCCTGCTTTCAAAAGTATCCAGATAACCAAGCCCTACACTGACTTTCTGATGCCTTTCCCCCTCATTATCAATGTTCATGATTATCTACAAATCCTGTTAAAGTGCTTTCAAAATTCCCTTGATGCACTGTGAAAACAAAATTGTTTTTGTTGGACATTTTGGACAGGATGTTTTCTACTCACCTTGATCTATTGGCAGTTATATAAAATGTTTAGCAACTTTATTTTTATTTATTCTTTCTGTGTAAGTTGTTTTGCTGAGTGTCACATGTGACTGCATCTTTGGGTCCTGCTTGTTCTCAGTTTCACGTTGCAAGTTTCTAATATGGGAAAAGTTATGTTGAGGACTAGGTTCCCCCATCCCCCACCTCCCCTACCTCAGCTATCATGTGACACTGGAAATCTTTATAAAAAGGACATGAGCTGTCGTGCACAGACAGAAAAGGAACAAGGAGTAATCTTATCACGACGCCTGAGCTCCACTGAATCTCTTCTGAAGAGGATACTAACACGGAATTTGTCTGAAAGCAACGAGAGCAACAGGGAGAAGAAAAAGGCAACGCAACTCAGCAGGTTTTTACGTGGTGTGTGCTATATTTGGAGATGGAGTTCCAGCCGAACATTATTCGAGAATCCGGCACAATGGAGACACTGGAGAAGCAACTCATCTGCCCAATTTGTCTTGAAATGTTTGAAAAGCCAGTTGTGATCCTGCCATGCCAACACAATCTGTGCAGAAAATGTGCCAATGATATATTCCAGGTTAGTGCTTTTAAGCTGGGTCCATTCAAAACTCAGCAAACTGGGGTCTCTTATCAGTGTTCCAAACTTTCAGAGACAGTAACACTTGGAAACGTGTAACTCCTTTCAAATTTTCTGTGGAGAACTCTGACCCCCTTGCTGGGTTACAGTAAGACACAGATATTGACTTCAATCCTCTGTCCTAATATCTCAGTTGGTGGCTTGGTGTCAAGTATTGTTTGATATGGCTCCTGTGAAATGCCCTGGGATGTTTGCACCATGCCACGAGTGCTATACAAATAAAAGTTGGAGTTTTGCTTGTCCCTCCTGTGTCCCCATACCTCACTCGGATTAATCTTGACAATGAATGTCAACTGACTGTTTGACGCTCGAGAGTACACATACCAAGCTTAGCTCTGCCATGAGCTGATGCTTGCACATGCACAAACTCCAATGGGAGCCATGGTTTAATTTCTCCCCATTTCCTCAGACCAAGGCCATTGAAACCAGTTGCAGCAACTCAACTGAAGTCTGAGATCAGCTAGTCTAACATAAACTTGAAATTGAACCTGGACCATGTACAGTCAGCACTATTACCAGTTAAGAAAGGCAGATTAGAAAGATAGGATGTAAGGCAGAATTTGAATTCATTAACACTGTTCACAACATCAGGTTGTCCCAAAGCATCTTATAATCAATGAAGTATATTTTTCAAGTAAAGTTACTGTTATAATATAGGAATGATCTTTAAGGCATAGGGAGACCTCTCTAATATAAAATTTAACAAACCTTTAGCTGAGTAAGTATTTCTGAAAATCTTTTAAGGCAGAAACTTTAAAAAGTGTGATATCTTTTGACATTATTTTTAAAAATGATGAATAAGTATAATGTTGCAACCAGTTTTGGTACGGTGCTAATCTGTGAGCTTGTGCTAAACATTTTCTAGATATACATATGTATGTGCTTTTTTTAGGCTGCTAATCCATATTGGCAGAGTCGAGGTACCATGATTTCTGGAGGTAGGTTCAGGTGCCCATCCTGTCGACATGAAGTTATCCTGGACCGTCATGGGGTATATGGACTGCAGAGGAACCTACTGGTGGAGAACATCATTGATATCTACAAGGAAGAGGGAATCAGGTTAGCCTGGGGAACCATTTCCCCTTCTGCATCAAACTTGTTGTTAGGGGCAGAGGGTCAGAGGTACAGGTGGGTGATGGGAAGAGAAGATGGAAATACGTTTGCCGAGCTGGGAAGGTGATTATTATAACACATCTCATGCATTGCTTGCAATGATGCTTCCTGGAGGTATTTGCTGAAATGTCATGTGAACACATCAGGAATCCAAATCTTGTATTTTTCAGTTGAAGTGGGAATATGTTCAGGAACAATTGGACTGAGTTACAAAGATGTAATGCTAGCCCAGTTTATTATATATTGTGTTTACTTCTACAGTTCTGTTACAAATTCATATGTTTCCTTCTTTAATGGAAATTGCCCATGTGAACAACTCACATTGAAGATTATGAAGGCCTTTGATGGAGCAGATGTAGAGATGTTTCCACCTGTAAGGGAATCCAAAACCAAGGGTGTAACAAAATTAAGACATAACTAATCAAACTGATAAAGAATTCAGGAGCAGTTTCTTTACTCAGTGAGACTTGCTACCATATGGAGTGGTTGAAGGAGATTATTGTAGATGGTTTTAAAACGAAGCTAGATAAATACATCATGGAGAAAAAAAAATGATCTGTTGACATGGTGAGAAAATAGGTTGGAGAAGGCATTTGGGAGAAGGCCCACATGGAGTGTAAATGCCAGCAAAGATCTTAAGTTCTGAACTGAAAAATCCTATGTAACAACATCCTTCAATTTATGGTAATGTTACAGTGCCTTCACTGGTAGGAGGGTGTAATTACAGTGTGACTAGTTTTAATACGCACCAATTTTTAATAAACATTGTAAATGTGACTACAGGAATATAAAAAGTTCAAAGTATGTGGAGCAACAGTAAGATTTTTGATGTGAAATAGGTGCTGATTTCACAAACTAAAAGACCTTTAAGGTTTTCTGAATTTTATAATATTTTTGAGTGTAGATTAGGATAAAACAACTTTGCAACTAATATAAAATGTCACCTGCAAATTGAATTTTTTTTGAGTCTGCAAAGGTTGCACTACATTAATTAGTCTGTGGAGCAACAAGTGGTCTCTCCTCAAAAGCAATGATTTGTGTTTCAGTCACCGTGGGGAATGCCTGAGGGTTGGATAAGATGTGAAATAAAGGAAAATTATTTTTCAATTTCAGATTCTATTGGTGGAAAAGAAGGAGTTGATTGACCATAGGGTACATATTTTAGATGAAAATCAGATGAAACAACATCTGAAGAACTTTTTTTTTCACTCCCCATGTTAAGCTACAGTGACTTCCCACCGTACTCATATTCTCAAGGTCATCTGGGCAAGGTTTCAACTGGTAACGATGACACAAATGTTCTTTAGTCCAGCTGTTTCTAAATGTTTAAAAATAGTTGGTCAGTAACTACCCAGCTTTGCTGAGCTGTGCCTTTAAAAAACGCTTGGCCATGAATGAAATTAGCTACATAAAAATGTCATAATATGTTGATATAAAACAAACAGCATTTTTAAAAAAAGTCTAACAGTGAGAGATTTAATTTTATGAACAATGATCATCTCTGAAATGCAGCTCCAGCAGGAATAAATAAATTTAAAGAACTATGACCGTTTTCAAAGTACCATTCAATGATTGGCCTTCATCACCAGTGATAGGGAAGAGCTGGCACAATCAGGATAGGATTTTCATCTCAGCAGCTTGAACACCAGAAGGACAAGGGCAGCAGCCACATGGGAATTCCATTGCCTGCAAGTTCCCTTCTGAATCCACTTCATTCTGACTTGGGCAAATATCACCATTCCTTCATCATCAGT